CTCCTCCTTTTCTAAATAGAGGCCCAGTGGTTAGCACTGTTGCCTCACAGCAAGAACATCACTGGTACTAGTCCTTATCAAGCCTGCTGACGTTTCTGTGCATAGTTACACGTTCTCCTTGTGCTCACATGGGTTTCCTTAGGCTTCCCTAGTTTCCTCCCACCGTCCAAAAACATGCAACTTAAGTTAATTGACTAATGCAAATCTGCACCATAGACATGCTCCTAGTAAGTAGTTATCTCTTAAGAGCAATCACTATTTGTACATTAGCTACTACAGCAGTGGAATTCTCGAAATCTGCCTGAGCTCAAACTCCCCTCTTGAGGATATTTTGAGCTAAGGGCTCTCTCCTGGGACAGCATGCCAAACAAGCTTTACAATTAATCATCAGCTAAGTGTGAACTCTTGAATGTTAGTATTTTGACTCTTTGGTGCTGAATAGTAAACATGCACTGATGTGTTTGCAAGGTAGTCTTATATTTCCTTCAATATTATATTTTATATTATTATAATCTTACATTTCCTTCAATATTTCTTTGGTTTTTAATGTCAATGTACAGCTTTACATTTATTGGGAATAGATTTGCTTCAATCTGATGAGAATATGCCTATTAAATATTTTTTAAAAAAGGAAAAAATATTTTACCATGGGCCCTCCCCTGACTGGTCTTTGGTTCCCCCTGCACAACCTCATTTTAAAAAAACCTAAAATAACCTGTGTTTCTAATGTAGGAATGCATCAAAAAAATTCCAAAGGAAATTCTGCTTTACTTCCTGTCTCACTTGGTTCCTTCTTCTGATCAAATTTTGAAAGCAGCATAGATGTGTCCTTCACTGCCTTCAATATGCCATAATCCTGTGCACTCCATTTCTGACAATTAAGGTAAAAAAATAGATGGCATCTTGATGTGTAGCTTGGGTGCCAAGTTGTGTGTAAATGTATGGTTTTTTTTAACCACCATTTTCTACTTTTGATGGCATTTCTAGTAAGAAGATAGTATTGTAGTAAGCAAATATTCCTTTAGTTGTTACCAAAGCTCTCTCCATTTTCTACTTTCAATTAAATCATTATGGTGTCTCATAAATATGTCTGTTTTACAAGGCTTTAAAAATGCGTTCTTTAGAGTCACTGCCTGACTGCCAGAGTAGCGAGGAAACAAGTCAGCTGCATAAGCTTTTCAGATTCAGCCCATGTCATCGATGCCTTTAGCACTGAAGGAATGTTTTTATAGTTCCTAGAACAATAAGCGGAAATACACAATTTTGGCGTGTTTGCACTGCAGGAACAGTGAACAATTTTTATTACAGGAATTTCTTTTGGGGAAACTAAATTAGCTCCTTCAATGTTGTTTGTAAAACAGAACAATAGGAACTGCAAGTAACAGACATTTAAGTGGATGCTGACTGGCCGAACACATGCCACACAAATCATCTTCACAATATTTTAAAGTGGTCCAAGATAAGACCAGACAAAAGCTAATCTTCAATGCTAGTCTTCAATGAACCTAAACGAGCACATGTCACTCCACTGCTAGTCCATTTGCACTGGCTGCCAGTTGCTGTTCGCATCAAATTCAAAGCTCTGATGTTTGCCTACAAAGTGACTTCTGGCCTTGCTCCATCTTATCTGCTTTCACTTCTGCAGATCTATGTGCCCTCCAGAAACTTGCGTTCTGTGAATGAACGTCGCCTCGTGGTTCCATCCCAAAGAGGGAAGAAATCACTTTCGCGAACGCTCACGCTCAATCTGCCCAGTTGGTGGAATGAACTCCCTAACTGCATCAGAACAGCAGAGTCACTCGCTACTTTCAAGAAACGACTAAAAACTCAACTATTTAGTCTCCACTTCACTTCCTAATCTGCAATTGCCTCTCTGAATATCACACTAACTGTACCCAAAAAAAAAAAAAACTCTAATACTACTAATACTTCCCTTCTTAGACTTTACAGACCTGAAACTTGCCTATAGCACTTATTCATTGTTGCTCTTAATTGTGTAAATTGCTTCCTTGTCCTCATTTGTAAGTCGCTTTGGATAAAAGCGTCTGCTAAATGACTAAATGTAAATGTAAATGTAAATGTAAATGTAATCTATCTGTTCCCTTTATGTGTGGCTTTGTGTTCTTTTCTCAGCCTATGCTATGGAGCACTACAAGTTGTCATACTGTAGGTGTTTTCATCTCTTAAGCCTGTGCACACCGGGACGCTTTTTGCTCACGTTTCATTTGGAACAGTCTAACATTTAAACATTGAACGATTTTTACAGTTCAGTTTTAGCAATCTTGATATTGACAATTGCGTTAATTTTGTGGTGCACTTTGAAATCATTTATGCCATTTTGAACACAGCCGTGGCTCATGACGAAAGCTAAATGTGACCTAATATTTAAAAGCGGAATTGATGTTACGTCTACAAAGTTTGTGAAAACAAAAATACATAACATACGTTGTAGTAGGTTATTTATTAAGTACTGTGTCTGTACTGTATATTACATGGACCAATTGGTTAGAACATTTCTGCAGAATGTGTCAAATTATAAACGTAGACTTTTCAAAAAACTCAAATAAATAAATAATGATTACCTAATGATTCACTATGGCCAATTTAGCTTATTTAATTCACCTATAGCACCTATATTCACCTATAGTCTTTGGACTGTCGGGGAAACCAGAGCACCCGGAGGAAACCCATGCTAACACAGGGAGAACATCCAAACACCAACTGACACAACCAAGGCTCAAAGCAGTGACATTCTTGCTGTGAGGCGATTGTGCTACACACTGTGCCACCATAATGTCCTGACCTAATAATAATAATAATAATATTATTAATAATAATAATAATAATTATTATTATTATTATTATTATTATTAGTAGTAGTAGTAGTAGTAGTAGCAGCATCATTAGTAATATTAGAATTAAGTATGATTTTTTTTTTCATTTCTTAATAAATAGCCTACTGTAAATTAGGCCTACAACCATTAACAATTTATATAATTTACATACTGTATGAGATTAGAATAGATAGATGTTAGCTTAGTGATTTTAAATGGAATATTCTGAATAATATTTGTAAAGGAAACAAATATAGGTCCAATATGTGTTTACATACATTTCAATTAATATAGAAAACAAGTGCATGTTTTTACCAAAACTAATATTGGATTTTTTTTTAAACGTGTGTGCATGTAAAACAATATAATTTGCACAGAAGTTATGGAATTTTTCTCTAAAGAAGTTATTACTCCACCCTATTTAGAGCATCAATACAAACATTTTAAGTTATAACCAGGGCTTTACATTAACACCCGCCAAATATGATAGATTTCGGTTGTGGCAGGTTAGACAGACACTCCACTAGCTATTTTGGCTGGCTGAAACTCATTTTTAAATTGCCAGTGCTGGCTCATCGTCACTAGATTAGAGTGTTAGTTTAAGACCGTTTGTCTATATGTGTACAAATGTGATCTTAGAATCGAGAAGCAGCACAACAGCTTTTCACACAAGCAAAAGAAAGCAGGTGAATAACGAATGGGAGGATCATGAGCACGATGAGACAGGCCTTCCTCACTCATGAATGCTTTAGTGCCTAAAGGGGCTAGAGTGTTTAAAAGCTCCTGTGCCGTTTCGTCACTAGAGGAAACCATGCATGGAAATGAAACTAGTGGGATGCTCGTGCACCCACAGTCCTTCAAGGGCTCAAGATTCTTTGTAAGCAGCAGCAGTGGTTGTCGCTTTCGCCTTAACCATTCTTTAAACAGATTATTAACTATAACATTAACCTTTTGCATGACATCATCCTTTCATTATCGCGCACAGAATGTTTTTTACCTGCTTTCTTTTGCTTGCTTTTATATTTGTTAATATAGTTTATTAATCATCCTTCACAATAATATGGCTTTAATATGTTGTTGCATGCATAGTTAACTGGTGATCTGGAATCTTGAGCCAGAACAGATCACTGTACATAGTTTCAGATGCGTGAGAATATATGTTTTTTAAATGTCAGCTGTTTTGATGAATAAAAAGTGTATGTATACAGCAGTATTTTGCTTGTTTTGACACATTATTTTAAATTAGTGGCAAGGAAATAATTAGTTTTATGTGGCCAGAGAAAAAAAAAGGTAAATCCTTATTGTGTTGAGCCCTGAAAATTCCTGTGAATGAAAACTAACTGCAATGCTACACTTTTTTTATAAAAGCATAACCCATTTGCTCATGCTCACAAATTTTAGCATTTTGCAACTCATGCCAAAGTCAAATTTATGCATAAAATATATTTTCCCAACAACAAAATTGTGGCTGTCGGAAATGGCGAGTGGCTAGTACCAGTGGAAAACTACTAGCCACAGTGGCTGGTGATCAAAAAAGTTAATGTCAAGCCCTGGTTATAACTAACATGGTTTAAACGATGGATCTGCAACAGAGCAACTACGGATTTGAGAAACACTCGTCATTTGTCACTAAATCGCTCTTTTCCAAAACAATGCGTCGGACTACGATAGTTCAGTCGCAAGTTATGTCATTTGGGAAACACGTCCCTGTATGGTTGGTAGTTTTTCCCCACGACATCTCAAATCCAGGTTCCCATCACATCCAACCCTACAGGGTAAAATAGTGAGATGATTATTAGCTCTACATGCCTCTGGGTATTAGGATTGACATGTTTTGGTTTAACAATATACGTGTAAATTTTTTTCAGGACAGAACGGTTTTTCAGTCTGAGCGTTCAGCCTCAGGCAGTGTGTTAAGGCCTCTCATGTGTAACTTCCTCTGCTGATGTTTTTAACAGGCCAAATACAGTGTTGTAAAAAGCATATTGCAGTCTGACAGTTGCCGTTTACACCCTTGAGTAATGGCCCCTCTATAAAGGTTTTGAAGAGTGCCGGGCATCTGGCTTTCAGAAAGCAGTGATTGGAAGCACATTGTTGTAAAGTCTTTAGGAAGAGTTTCTGAAGAGACACTAATGTGTTGCATTGTATTTGTTTCCCATTTCTCAGCCCTCGGCAAGTGAGAATGTGTCTGGGGAGGAGCAGGAGGAGAGAGAGAGGCTACACTGCATCCTCAAACAGATGGGCCGAATCAAATGTCCCAATGAGGTAGTGACTTGTCAGTGGTGGCTGCCGTCTGTCTGCCCTTAATATGTCCTAATTGCTGCCTTCCTTCTGTCTCTCACTGTCTTTGTTTTGTCTGGTTTGACATTGTCTGTCTCTATTAAAGGTTCACCATTGTATTGGCCAACCTTTCCATTTGTAAAATTTGATAACTAATATCTGTGATCAGAAATCTCACATTTGCTTTTTAATAATACCCATAAACCATTCACAACCTGGTAGCAGATGTGGAATGGAGAGCTAGCATGTTATCTTAATCAAAGTCTCTTTAAGGCAAGTCATTTCACTCGGCAGCCATCTTTGAAACGCTTGTCGGGCAATATGCCCGGGCATTCTGTTTGAATGGGGAAACATCAAATTCTCCAAAACTGCTTGTCAAGCTTACGATTAAATACCAGATTATGAATAACCAATAAAAGTTGCATTTCTAAATGTATATTACACAAAATCTGCATAAACTCATATCTGGTTTTAGCCCCTCCTACAAAGAATTATCATTCTATATTGATCGCTGATTGGCTCCTGTACTAGCAGGCGGGCTTTATTCTCCATATAGCGATCGCTCATTAGGTCCTGTACTAAAAGGCGGGGCTTCATTTGTCATATTGACTGTTACACTTTTCCCCATTCAAAAGTATAAGAGTGAGAGGTCTTGTGTATTCTAGAGTCTTTTGCTTAATGCAGCATCAAAATGTGATTGATCCAATGTTTTGCTACAGAATTAAGCTACATATGTCAACTGCTTAAAATATCCATCTTCTGTTATCTGATGCATCTGATTGTTGCCATCATGTTTTTCATCAGACAAAACTTCTCTATCTACATTAGAGTTTAGATTCTCTGCCAAGCCCAGCCTTTACCTGACCTGACTTGTGGGCCATGGCAGCAGATATTTCCTCCCACTTTTTTTCTGGCCGGGCTGGGCCAGGCCCGGCAATGATCAAGCATTCGTGTTTTGTTTTTGTTAGTCATTACCCACTTAGCAAAATTTCTCTGGCCCTGCTCTGGCAAACACAATCAGATTTTGCTTGGCCAACATGATACAATGAATTATGGTACATGACTGGACCTAATCTGGCTTTCAGACAAGGACCAAACATGGACCACGTCTGGGTCAAGTCTCAGCCAAGTTAACTGGGTTGGTGTGTCACGATTGCTATAAAATTGATAAACCCATGAAGCATTGCGCTAGGCACACTATAGGCTTTTTTTTCTTTACTCAAAAATAATTGTAATGTATTTTAATTGTGGGTCATGACAGGCCAAATTTACATGGCTCACATATCAAATTTTAACATCTGGGCAAAGACTAAATTTTGGCTGCATTTACACTGCAGATATTGGTGGTCAATTCCGATTTTGTGACTGTATCCGATTTTTTTTATGACCTGCTTACATCATCTTTGAAAATTGACTCTTATTCGATTGTCTGCATTTGCACAGCACATGGCAAAGGCGCAATTACCAGGAAAAAAAAAAGAGCAGGCGCTGACTAACAGCTGATAATTAAAGAGTGCTCTTTTCTCTATTCCTGTATGTAATCGGTTTGCAGCTTTTGACAAGCTGTTTTACTATAGTTTATGACAGAGCGGTTCTCATTTGTCCCTCTTCCCTTCATATATAGACTTTTTTTTTTTAACTTTTAGGCATCTTAATGTAATGTCTATGGCGTGATTTATGCACGTGATGTATATGCACTAGTTTTATATTAGTTTATTGGTTACATGGTGGACATTGCGCTCTCTCACTCTCATTAATATGCTTAAATACCTGTGCTATTTGACAATAAAAAAACAGTTTTTGAGATTTAAGGTTTGGGACTCTGAAGTCTGTTCTGAAAAATGAAAATGTCAGGCTTGATGTCATTCACTATGGTTTTTAATGACACGCGACTCGCATTGACAGGTGAAAATCCGATCTACCTGCTTACTCTGCAGACACGAGAACAAAGATCTGATTCAAATCAGATAAATTTCCACATATGAACAAGGCCTGAGTCTGATTTGAGTAAATCGGAATCCGTGTGATTGTTGTTGCTTACACGTACATGGGCCATATCCGATATGTGCCACATGGGAGAAAAAAATTGGAATTGAGTTACTTGGACAGTGCAGTGTAAATGCAGCCTTTAAATCTGGCCCAAATATTGTGTGCCACCTTAAAGACGGTGCCACCTCTGCCAAACCCACGCCATGTTTGGCCCACATGCTGTATGCCAGGGCCGGAAGAATGCCTGCTGTACCAGCACTATGGCAAATCTGGACCAGAATTCTTTGCTACCTGGTTACTTAATTAGCCTAATTAGGTGGAAAGCTTTGCCATAATTAGAAATATTATATGAATATTTTAGCAAAATTGGCCTAAGCAACACATGTGTGGGTCTACAAAGTTGCACAAATTGCATTGCGTGTCATGCGCAGCAACACTCTAGCTCCTGCAACAGCCTTTCCTCCGTCTGACACACATTCACACAAGCAGAGTTGAAGCAGCGCATATATACTGTAAAGCAGAAACAGTGCATAAAAATCTGTGGATGTTGTATATGCATTTATTGGGTAAAATTGCTACTTTCTACTGTAGTTCAATGTGTTTTTGGTCATTATCAATGCACTGTCAATTTAATTGCACTTGAGCAGCAGCAAAAATAGACCCAGCGCAGAATTGATAATTTCACTGCTGCTTCTGCATGCTGTATGAAAGCTATAATCTGTTAACATAGACGCCAAAAAAACAAACATGTTGCTCATGCTCTGCTCGCACATGCGGTGTGAAAGAGGTGCTAGCAAAAAAAACAAACAAACAGGGATTTTCACAATAAACAGACACATAAAGCAGGCTTGCCAGGGCATATAGAATGATAGTCAGCCTTCAATGTCCTTTTTTGTTATGATTCATTCTGAATAAATAAACAATGTTGTTTACATGCTTCATTCTTGTTGCATTATTCATTAAGATAAATGTAAACTCATTTCTGTAGTTCAAACAACACAGAATCGTAGTTGAGAATGTCTGTTCTAATGGCCCACATATTAAAAAATAGTTGAGTTTAAATCGGGTTCATCATTAGTTAATGTGTTGGACCTGGTCAGGCTTGAACACAAGGTGCACGGGCTCGGGTATAGGGTCAGGTTAAATTTTTTGGGCCCGATCTAAACTTTAATCAGCATGTTAAGCCCAGCTCACATGGTGGTTTGGACCATGATTTAGTTTTCTGAGACAAATTTTGATATTCCTAAAAGATTCCTATAATCTATGGTCTTTGATCACAGGTTTGATAGGTTTGACGTCAGCCAATTAATGGCCATTGCTATCATATTTTCTCTACAATGAAATTCTGGTAGTGTCAGAAGATTTCAAACACTTTCCTGTGGTTGGATTTTTCTATGACGAGCATCAAACCAAGAACCAAATGTAGCGCTGAATCTCATAAGTCAGACAACTTCTAACTCCTGCAGGGAAACGTCAAATTTTCTTTATGGATTAACCTCAGGGCATAGTACTGTATGAGTAAAATCAAAGCTACAGATTTTATATTTTTGCTATGAGGGTTGAAAATTTTATAACGCAGGTTACTTAACATGTCAAAGATTGATGATGTCAAACTTCAGATGATCCTTTTGTGTGTCTGTTTTTGCTAATACATAATTATCATTCAAATCTGACAAATATGGCAACTGAGGCAGCCAATTCGAATGTTATCACTCGATTGAATGGGCGTTATCAGTGATTATCAGCTTATAGATATGGGCCAGTACTACTAGTAGGTGCAGAAAGCTGTTATCATCAATCCACATGGTTAATCAGCTGTAGATCAAGTTAACAAGAATTGTTTTTTTTTGTTTTTTTTTTATAAAATTTACCATTAATTGTATTTTATTAAGGGGATGCAGTGGTGCAGTAGGTAGTGCTGTCATCACACAGCAAGAAGATTGCTGGTTCGAGCCTCGGCTGGGTCAGTTGGCATTTCTGTGTGGGGTTTGCATGTTCTCCCTGCGTTCGTGTGTGTTTCCTCCGGCTGCTCCGGTTTCCCCCACAGTCCAAAGACATGCGGTACAGGTGAATTGGGTACGCTAAATTGTCCGTAGTGAATGAGTGTGAATGAATGTGTATGGATGTTTCCCAGAGATTGGTTGCAGCTGGAAGGGCATCCGCTGCATAAAAAAACATGCAGAATAAATTGGCTGTGCATTCCACTGTGGTGACCCCAGATTAATAAAATGTATTTTATTAAGGTCTACCCCTAACCCTACCCCTACCCAAAACTCAAAACATCATAGTAATGTAAAAACAGACTTGGATCTGGAGTCTTCTCTATTAGTATAGCTGTTTAACCATGTGGATGGATTATAACAGGTGATAACAGATCTGGATTTGCAGGCTTATCTATTAGTATAACTGATTAACCATGTGGATAGACGAAAACAGCATTCTGAGGTACTGGCCCAGTACTCTATAAGCTGGTTACCATTGATAACACCTATTCAATCGAGTAATTACATTCCAAGCAGGTGACTGAGGTCTTAAAGTTTTACATGGTGATCATGTTTGTACAGTCTGGCATGATAAAACTATAAAGGGCTAACTGTGAACTGGGCTTTAGTCAACTCAACTTTGTCCAGGAATGTCACATGATTATGGCCCATATCCACTGAGCAGTGCAGTTTAGTACAGTACAGTATTTGTCAGGGTTCTGCCACTCTGATCTTGTAAATTCTTGTTTTGGTGGCAGATCTCTGACACTACTCGTGTCTGGTCCTGTTTCTGTCTCTGTGTGCGCGCGCGCCGTCGTGGGTGTGCGCAGAGTGTGCGCGCTCCTGCTTGACGCGGCCGCGTGCGCGCTCTGCGTCCCTCAGACGCGTGCGCTCTTGTACTCGTGTTTGTGTTTTTGTCTGTCAGCAGCATGGTGTTTCATTCCCAGCGTCTCAGTCTTGTTGGTTTCGGTTTTGGTCGGCGCTGGGATGAAGCATGCATGCTGCATATGTGAGCGCATGGTGAGTTTTCATTCATCGTGTGCTCGTGTCTTGCGTCTTTTGTCAAAGCACGTGGCTCGGTGTTTACATTGTGGTCACGTGCTTTTGTCGTGTGCTTCAGTGTTGTGTTATGTGAGCGCATGGCTTGTATTGTCTCTCTGTGTCATGCGCTCTCCCGTCTATTGTCTAGTCCCACCCTCCTTGTTTACTCATTATTAGTTTGTCATGTTCACCTGTGTGTCAATTTACTTTTTGCTTTATAATCCCCCTCATGTTTCAGTCATTTGCGAGTTCGTCGTCGTTATTTCCATGTCGTGTGCTATCCAGTCCTGTTTGTCCTGCCAGCCCATCTAAGTTTGTTTGAGTGTTTGTTTTATAGTTATGTTTTTCCCCCTCTGGGTGGTTTTTGTTCTAATTTTGTTTTATTTTTATTATCAATAAATCATCCTGTTTGCACTTGAGTCCTCGCTCCCTCATCCTTCCTGAACCCTGACAGTACGAACTCGCCAAACAGAGGACTCAGCAACAGGATGAGCATAATTATCCTTCCACCCACCACAGCAGAGGAGAGACAGAGGCGCCTTCAGGGGCTGGTGTCGGCCCGCCAGCAAGGTCTGGAGGTAAAAAGCTTTGCCCAGTTTTTTTGGACTTATGCTAGGGGGCTTGAGTTTGATGACGCCACTCTGAAGGAAGCTTTTAATCTCTGTCTCGATGAACCCCTGCCACAGTGGGAGATGGATCAGCTTGGGGTGTTGGACTTCTGGGGCTTCTCACTTTATCTCCACCACCGCAAGGATTGGCAGATCCTCACACCACCTTCAGCTGATTGTGGCAAATACTCCACCCCTCCTTCCTCTACGAGTGCAGCTCATGACCTCCCTCTGACTCGGTCGAGTAAACGGAGGCTGCAGAGAAAGAGGGCTGCCCAAACTGCTGCATCAGCCCCAGAGCGCCCTCCAGTGTCGGCTCCAGCCCCAGAGCGCCCTCCAGTGTCGGCTCCAGCCCCAGAGCGCCCTCCAGTGTCGGCTCCAGCCCCAGAGCGCCCTCCAGTGTCGGCTCCAGCCCCAGAGCGCCCTCCAGTGTCGGCTCCAGCCCCAGAGCGCCCTCCAGTGTCGGCTCCAGCCCCAGAGCGCCCTCCAGTGTCGGCTCCAGCCCCAGAGCGCCCTCCAGTGTCGGCTCCAGCCCCAGAGCGCCCTCCAGTGTCGGCTCCAGCCCCAGAGCGCCCTCCAGTGTCGGCTCCAGCCCCAGAGCGCCCTCCAGTGTCGGCTCCAGCCCCAGAGCGCCCTCCAGTGTCGGCTCCAGCCCCAGAGCGCCCTCCAGTGTCGGCTCCAGCCCCAGAGCGCCCTCCAGTGTCGGCTCCAGCCCCAGAGCGCCCTCCAGTGTCGGCCCTAGCCCGGCTCCTTGCCCTGCCGGCACCACCCAGACGTTTTTCCCTGCCGGCACCACCCAGACGTCTAGCCCTGCCGGCCCCAGCCCGGCTCCTTTCCCTGCCGGCACCTACCAGACGTTTAGCCCTGCCGGCCCCAGCCCGGCTCCTTGCCCTGCTGGCACCACCCAGACGTCTTGCCCAGCCGGCACCACCCAGACGTCTCGCCCAGCCGGCCCCAGCCCGGCTCCTTGCCCTGCTGGCACCACCCAGACGTTTAGCCCTGCCGGCCCCAGCCCGGCTCCTTGCCCTGCCGGCACCACCCAGACGTTTTTCCCTGCCGGCACCACCCAGACGTCTAGCCCTGCCGGCCCCAGCCCGGCTCCTTTCCCTGCCGGCACCTACCAGACGTTTAGCCCTGCCGGCCCCAGCCCGGCTCCTTGCCCTGCCGGCCCCAGCCCGGCTCCTTGCCCTGCCGGCACCACCCAAACGTCTTTCCCAGCCGGCCCCAGCCCGGCTCCTAGCCCCGCCGGCTCCCCTCTGGTCTTCAGCCCCGCCGGCTCCCCTCTGGTCTTCAGCCCCGCCGGCTTTAATTAAGTCTCCTCTAGACCAGCCGGCTCCCCACAGGCCTTCATCCCAGCCGGCTCCCCACCGACCTCCTGCCTTGTCTCCTCTGATAGATTGTCCCTGGATTGTTCCTCCTGCTCCACCTTGGTGTGCCCCTCTCCCACCCTGGACTGACCCTCCGGCTCCACCCTGGTTCCTTGCCGGGGCCCCCGACCTGCTGTCCCCACCCTGGACTGTCCCTCCTGATCCTCCCTGGTCTTGCCCTCCCATCCCTCCCTTGTTTGTCTTGTTGGGTCTGGCTTGGCTCCCCTTCCTCCCCCCCTTCATGTCGTCTTGCCTGTTCACCTCCCGGTCTTGTGTCTGTTGATGTTGCCTGTTTTGTTGTCTTGTGGTGTTTCTTGTCTGTCTTGTACCTTGTTGGATGTTCCCTTTAGGGACGCCAGGTGGCGTCCCTTTTGGGGGGGGGGTAGTGTCAGGGTTCTGCCACTCTGATCTTGTAAATTCTTGTTTTGGTGGCAGATCTCTGACACTACTCGTGTCTGGTCCTGTTTCTGTCTCTGTGTGCGCGCGCGCCGTCGTGGGTGTGCGCAGAGTGTGCGCGCTCCTGCTTGACGCGGCCGCGTGCGCGCTCTGCGTCCCTCAGACGCGTGCGCTCTTGTACTCGTGTTTGTGTTTTTGTCTGTCAGCAGCATGGTGTTTCATTCCCAGCGTCTCAGTCTTGTTGGTTTTGGTTTTGGTCGGCGCTGGGATGAAGCATGCATGCTGCATATGTGAGCGCATGGTGAGTTTTCATTCATCGTGTGCTCGTGTCTTGCGTCTTTTGTCAAAGCACGTGGCTCTGTGTTTACATTGTGGTCACGTGCTTTTGTCGTGTGCTTCAGTGTTGTGTTATGTGAGCGCATGGCTTGTATTGTCTCTCTGTGTCATGCGCTCTCCCGTCTATTGTCTAGTCCCACCCTCCTTGTTTACTCATTATTAGTTTGTCATGTTCACCTGTGTGTCAATTTACTTTTTGCTTTATAATCCCCCTCATGTTTCAGTCATTTGCGAGTTCGTCGTCGTTATTTCCATGTCGTGTGCTATCCAGTCCTGTTTGTCCTGCCAGCCCATCTAAGTTTGTTTGAGTGTTTGTTTTATAGTTATGTTTTTCCCCCTCTGGGTGGTTTTTGTTCTAATTTTGTTTTATTTTTATTATCAATAAATCATCCTGTTTGCACTTGAGTCCTCGCTCCCTCATCCTTCCTGAACCCTGACAGTATTGTGTGCATTTAGGTGTATTTACACTGTCAAAGGTACCAAAATCTTACCTTAACACCATTTTGGCATACGTTCCTAAGGGTACCTAGCCCAATAGTTTGGTACCAAAGGCTCACGAACACTAATAGGTTTACATACTGTAGACAGGAAGTGCCATTTTTATATAAACAGCAGAGACATGACACCTTAACAATAAAATGATGGCATACAGCAATGAACCATGATCGACCCAAGGTTAAATATAACTTGTTGCCTACTTGCAAACGGTCATGTCAAGAAGCAAGAACAGGATCAGCTGAATGTTCTCCATTGTTGTTTACGAGGCCGTTTACACATGTAAATGTGTATAAAGCATGAGGTTTTGTTTTCCCTTTTTGCGCTCACCATGCATCTATATTTAAAAATATTGAACTGGTGTTAAAAAAAGGCTCAATATGTGACCAGCCTTTACAACTTTGTTCTTTGAGCGAGAGCAATATTGATCATAACATTTTGTCAACCATACCATTCAGTGTAAACAAGCCATTAGTCTCATATTTAGACTTTTTGTGTTTACACTATGTAGAAACTGCCAATATATGACAGTTAACAATCCCTAATGCTACCACACTCCATTTTTGGGTACAAATGGAAAATAAAATGAAAAAAATAAAAAATAAAACGATAAAAATAGAAATTTGAAGTTTACATGTTACATCATTTTTTTCACTTTTAGACTTATATTAAAGGCTTTAATGAAATGATAATTGCATGGACCTGTATTACTTTTAATTTTGCATTGCTCCTGATGTGTGTCTGTCTGACTGTCTGTCTGTCTGTCTGTATACATGGATGTTGGTTTACCACCAGCTAGACCAGCACTAACCAGCATAAACTAGCTTGGGCTTGTGTGCAGTTTCAGTCTGGATTGGTCTTTAGAGTAGTCTGATTCAAATTACTATGATTAGCCCAAGTGGTAAGGACATAAATATAAAATGGAAGGGAAAACATGACTACATGTTGATTTGGGAGGGGGGATTGGGGGTAGCTTATTTATCACTCAGTCTGTTATTGTGGTTTGTATTGACAAAAAGGGACACCCCTTCAAAAGAGAAAAAATTCTGTTCCTGGACTGTCAGCCCACAAATCAATGAATGAACTAATGAAGTGTGTTGACTCTCTGTCAAACAGGGCTGTTCAGCTCATTTCTCCAGTCTGATGAGTTATCAGTATCATCAGAAACGCTGTGCCAGTGAGCTGCCAGGCACACAGAAGCCTGTCTTCCTGTGCCAACACTGTGGTAAGACCTACCGCTCCAAAACTGGCCGAGACTATCACCAGCGCACCGAGCACATCATCACCACCCTGACCACTTACCCGGTGAGATCACACACACCACAGTCCTGCTTTAATATCATGTGGAAAATATCATTACAACTTATTAGCATTCAAACAATTGCTAGAACATGTTTCTCAGTGTTTCAAAGGATAGATCACCCAAAAATGAAAATTCTGTAGTTGATTACTTGCCATCATGTTGTTTCATACATCTAAGGTAAATTATTGCACATCTTTCATTCATCTGCAAGACATAATTGAAGAAATGTAGGGTACTTTCATAATGTCATGTTTAAGGCTGATTTATACTTTTGCTTCAAGTGCACGCATATGGTCCAGTGCAGCCGGAGCGCAATAATGACATGCACCTCTCAAAATATGTAACTACACGTCGAAATGATGCATATTGCAAGGTCTGTGATTGGTCGGTTTGGTAGCTGTGACTGAGAGCCACGAGCCCGATGGAGCGATTGTTTACAAGTGTTGAGTCTAGTGAAGGAGCTCCAGATGGAAACTTTTGTTTTGTGTTTACCTTATGATTAAAGTTGCTGCACGTCCGCCGGTTCCCACAGCTGAATGAGTGTGTTTAAGCTACTTGTAGCAATTAGAAAAACCTAAACATCAGCGAAACTTGACAGAAAACAGTCAAACTACTTGGTCTACAAACAAGTGTTTGCATGATTATACAGACAAAGAATCATATGATAAGAAAATATCAGTTTGCAACATCAAGTAGCAGAACAAGCTGTTTTTAATAAAATGAATGGAAGTTTTTAGCATTCTGATTGGAGGATATCAAAAAACAATATGGCTTCAAAAGCTGCCCTGTGTTAAAGAGGATGATACATGGGGCAATTGTTTGAGTAATCACACCATTAATGGGCAGCCAGGTGAGACACAGGGTAACTAATTTGAGCATCCCGAGCCAGATAAAATGTTGTTGTACATTCTCAATAGAAAAGTAGCCAAGCAACATCACTTTAAAATGTGTCACCTTAAAATTAACATTGCTCAAGAAGTTGCCCTGTGTATCATCAACGTATATGGCAAAAAAAAAAAAAAAAAAACATACTCTAACATTAATGACAGAATTTTATTTGGTAAAACTAATTCTATAAAAAGTTTTATCCAAAGTTTATCCAAATAATGAAAATTCTGTCATCATTTACTCACCCTTCACAAACCTTTATGAGTTTCTTCAATCTGTTGAACACTAAAGAAGATGTTTTAAAGAAAGCTTTAGCCTGTAACCATTGCCTAACATCCCAGCAGGCACACAACCTAATAAGATGTTAATACAGTTGAAACCAGCTTTAAAAGTTCACGTACTGTATAGAAATGCACATAACCATGGAAAAAAGTCAGATGTTAATGTGACTAAACTTTTTTTTCTTTTAGGTAAGTTCGGATTATCAAATTTGTTTGTTATGCTTAATAGCAGAATAACAGAGAGATTTTTTTTTTTTGAGAAATTGTTATAACTTTTATAACTTGTGAAAGTTAAGATTACATACAATAAGATTATTATGCCTCTGAAAAAGCTCAGATGATGGGGTCAAGGTTTTAGAAGTTTTTTATTGGCTATTTGACAATATTTGAGTTGATTGGAGGCACAACTGTTAAATAGTATTTAAGGAAAACCTCTAACACATTCCTTCCTTGTGTACAACATGGGAAAGTAAACAAGACAGAACCAACAAAAAAGCCTGATTACAATTTGCTAAATTACACTTGGAAAAAGAATAATTTTCAGAGACATGTCCTGTGGTCTGATGAAACTAAGATTGAACTGTTTGGCCATAATGACCTATGTTACATTTGGAGGACAAAGGGGACGCTTACAAGCCTAGAACACCATCCCAATTGTGGAGTATGGGGGTGGCAGCATGTTGTGGGGCTGTTTTGTTGCAGGAGGGACTGGTCCACTTTACAGCATAGATGGCATCATGAAGAAAGAACATTATGTAGAAATACTGGAGCAACATCGCAAGACATCAGCCAGGAAATTAAAATTTGGCCTCAAATGGGTCTTCCAAACAGGCCATGACCCTAAGCATACTACCAAATTAGTTTAAATTTACTTTAAGGACAACAGAGTGAAAGTTTTGGAGTGGCCATCACAAAGCCCTTATCTCAATCCTATAGAAAATGTGTGGGCAGAGTTGAAAAAGCTTGCGCGAGCAAGCTTACAAACCTGACTCCGTTACACCAATTCTGTCAGGAGGAATGGGCCAAAATTCCTTCAAACTATTGTAAGAAGCTTTTGTAAGGATATCCAAAACCTTTGACTAAATTTATACAGTTTAAAGCAAGGCAAAAAAAATTATGTAAACTTTTGATTGTCTAGAACAGGGGTCACCAATCTCGGTCCTGGAGGGCCGGTGTCCCTGCAGGGTTTAGCTACAACTTGCCTCAACACACCCACCTGGATGTTTCAAGTATTCCTAGTAAGACCTTAATTGGCTTGTTCAGGTGTGTTTGATTAGGGTTGGAGCTAAAATCTGCTGGACACCAGCCCTCCAGGAACAAGTTTGGTGACCAATGGTCCAGAACTTAATAAAAAATTATTAAAAACAAAATTCTCTCATTATTCTGGCATTTAGCAAATATAAATGATTTAGGTAATCCTAACGGACCTAAAATAGTAAACGTTTAGTATGATTTACCATCAGACATTTAAAAAAATGGTTATGTTCCTTTTTTAGAGTGTAATTAAACTTCTGGTTTCAATTCTATTTGGTTAGATTTAAGTTGTGACTTCAGGTGACCAAAATGTAATGTCTAGCCAGTGTCTAAGGACAATGTTATTTTGATGTCCAATATCGACATCAAATTATGTTGGTATTTGGTTGATTTTAGGTTGTATTGGAGAGTGACCAAAATCCAATGTTGAGCCAACATCTTAAACCATCATCATATGATGCCTCAGATGTCAAGTTATGACATTTATTTGTCAGGCATAGCAACCAAAATCCAACGTCTGATAGACATATTGGTATCGTTCACTCTACATCAAGCTGTAAAATCATTAGACATTGATAATTGGTTGATTTTAGGTTGGACATTAGAAATTAAAGTTGGCCTGACGTTGGACTCTGACTCTATCAATCTGACGTCCTGTGTCTGCTGGCATAGTATTGGTTTTTACGGAAGTCAGTGGTTTTATGTTACTACTTTTGTGTCACCAGAAGAAACTCATAAAGGTTTAGAAACACTTGATGGTGAAATAATGACAGATTGATTTTTTAGGGTAATCACTTTACTATCACTTTGTTACTTTTACTTTTTTTTTTTTACTAAAACTCACTGTCTACAAACCATTTTCAAGTTTAAAACATGATAGGAATGTAATACAGATCTGCAAAACACAGTATATTGTAAAATAGCATAAAACAATATAAAATAATAGACATATAATGATGATATCTGAATGGATTTCAAATGCCTCTGAATGCTCTGACTTCTCATTTTTAGCAGGAGGACAATAAAGATGAGGAGGATGTGCTGGAGGAAGAGGATGATGATGATGAGGAGGAGGAGGATGAAGAGGAACAGGAGGAGGAAGAGCCTGTGCTGAAGAAGAGCATAGAGCAGGAAAGGCAGAGCGAAGGTGAGCAGGTGGAGAAGATGCAGGAGAGGAAGGAAGAGAAAGGGGAAGTGGAGGACCTGCTGGATTTGGAGAGGACGCCGAGTGGCCGGGTGAGACGGCGCTCTGCTCAGGTGGCTGTATTTCACCTGCAGGAGATTGCAGAGGATGAGCTGGCCAAAGACTGGGGCACCAAACAAAGAATCAAAGATGACCTTGTTCCTGATATTAAAAGGGTAAAGTGATGTTGGACCTACTAACTTTAAAATTTCAATTTCTAATTACTTTCAAGATTTAAGTAAACTTTAGTTTACTATTGGAGATGTCAATAATTTGACAGCAAATGTTGTTTTTAGAATATTTATGCCTAACAAGAATTTACTAAAAACAGAACTTTTTTTTTCTTTGGGCTTTTGAAATGTTCCTTGTACAGATGACAGTATTCTCCTGGTGACAATATTCAAATATTCTTTATTCAGACAGATCACACAGAAAAATAAAGGTTTTTGTATACATAAAAACATTATCTTCCTGTGAAAAATATTTAGCAATAAGATCTTGTGTTAGCATAGTCAAAATAAACCTTTTATTAAGCCAGTGGGTGGTGTCAAGTGTCATTGTAAATCCTTTACATGATATTTTTCTAATCTTGACAGAATTCATGTTGGAAAAGTCTTTTAGTATTTTGACAGACAATGTTATGACAGTTTGAGACACTATGTTAAAGGTGCTGTAAGTTTTTGACTCTTCTAAAGCATGAAAATACCATATATTATATGCAGGTATTTCAGAAATATGCTAAGTGAACATTCTCGTTTATCTGAAAAACAATGCTAAAGTCAAAGATATTCTACTTTTAAAATGTGCATTACGAATTGAACAGCACTCAAAGTATTCATCTGTGACCAAAATGTGACCTCTGGTGAAGAGTAGCAGATTGAGACGCAGATTCAGAGTTCCACATGAGGTGTTTCATAATTAGCAAATAATATAAATATTATGAAAATAAACATTAGGTGAGCGGGTTACATTGTAACCCTGTCCTATTAACAGGCTAAGTGACGAGATACACTATAAGCAATTTGGTTGTTTGCACCAGACGAAACATGACAAAAATATAAATACAGCCATTCAGACTTACTGCACCCCAACGAAATGGTAAGGTTTATTATCATATTAATACATATTAAACCTTTACGTATACATATTAAACTTTTTAAGATTATTAAATGTACATGCTGAGTCACAGATACATGTTGGCTTGCACTGAGTCACGGTTCAAAGGCTCTATTTTACTGTCTAAGCCAGGGGTGTCCAAACTTTTTGGGCCGAGGGCCAGATGCAAAAAAACAACGTTGTCGCGGGCCAAATTTTACACACATCACACAGACACGCATATATATATATATATATATATATATATATATATACAGTTGAAGTCAGAATTGTTAGCCCCCGTTTATTTTTTCCCCAATTTCTGTTTAACGGAAAGAAGATTTTTTTCCACACATTTCTAAACATATTAGTTTTAGTAACTCATTTCTAATAACTGATTTATTTTATCTTTGCCATGATGACAGTAAATAATATTTGACTAGATATTTTTAAGACACTTCTATACGTGACATTTAAAGACTTAACTAGGTTAATCAAGTTACAAGTTAAGGTAATTAGGCAAGTTATTTTATTACAATGGTTTGTTCTGAAGACTTAAGGGGCTAATAATTTTGACCTTAAATGGTTCATAAAAAAATTAAAACCGCTTTTATTCTAGCCGAAATACAACAAATAAGTCTTTCTCCAGAAGAAAAAATATTAGATAGATAGATAGATAGATAGATAGATAGATAGATAGATAGATAGATAGATAGATAGATAGATAGATAGATCATATCAAGAACTGCTGCTTAATTGAATGCATGTAATAGCGACACCCGGTGGTTATTTATTGAATTACGTTCATTTTTGTATAGCGGGCCAGATTCTATTGATATTTATAAAAAGCCTCGCGGGCCGCGACAAAACTGATTGCGGGCCGCAGATGGCCCGCGGGCCGTAGTTTGGACACGCCTGGTCTAAGCGCAAAGTCCAAAGTGCAGGGCACAAAAGCATTAAGGGCTTGTCAGAATCCTCTTTTGCTATTTTAAGGATGGAAAAATTCACTCTGCGCCACAGCGCATGGTCTAACAGGGTTGTGCTTATTATCTTAATGAGTTATGGGTGTGTTTTGAGAATAAACCAATTAGAGTCTCATCTCCCATTCCCTTTAAAAGTCAGTTGTGTCTTGCCATGGCGCATATGCTATTTACATGGCTGAGTGTGTAAATGGAAAAACTAAACACTTCACTAGCCAGAAAACAGTTAAATAGAGCATCTGCAGCGAGAGAATGAGCCTCATCATTCTTTACTTTCACCCTCTTTTGTGGATAAGGAAACGTGTTGTACACACAGACATCCATTAGCCTACATAATTAATTTTGTTGTTAAGCGCAAGGATTCATTTCAAAACAAGATTTCGGGAGGAGCACGATCAGTCTTTGATGAGGCTTAGGCCCCGTTTACACTAGTGCGTTTTAGTTTTAAAACGGCGTTTTAGAATGAAAACGATCCGCGTCCACACTCGCGTTTTACCCAGCGTTTCTGAACTGCTCTCCGTCCACAACAAAACGCTGAAAACGCACATCACGTGACCACACACACACTCGGGCAAGCGCTGCAGCCCATCTACCCAGATGAGAGCTGTGCTAGTCGGACTTCTCATCAAGCATCTCCCGCTGGATCTAATCTCACTATATTTATTAAACGGAATATTTCATTCATCTTGTTGTCTTTATCTAACGACATATTCCCTGACTTTGGTCATTGAAATCTATTACTTGTTCTCAGGTAACGTGTTTTGGCTAAGCGCAAAGATAAGTTAATGATTAATGTAACCACGTAGCCTATTCTGTATATTGACTGATCGCTTACCTTTATTTCCTATAATGTATAAACTTATTGTATGTTATACTTTTATAATGGCCATTATCGATTGTTAAAACTGATATTCAGCAAAAGAGAGGGTGTGTTTCGTATTTTCACTGAAATTGAAAGGAGGCAGTTGTTATCGGCTCCGTTTTGTTATAAATATCCACACTGTGAAGATGACGCTCATGCAGCATGACGCCTCAACATTTCTGCTGTCTAAGTTGCTAATATTAAAATGAAAATAGGCAGTTCCTTAAATCATGTTTACATTTTATTGTTGAGAAAGTGAAACAACGTAGCCAGGGTGATGTGAATGAAGTTATAAAGTACACTGTTCCCTTTGAAGATTGACGCGTGTCCTCGGTATAGTCTGTTTTCCATATCAAACTGAGAAGAAGAGACTGCAGCCTTGATCAAACTTGCGTAGTCTAAACTTACAAGGAGAGAATGCAGGAATGAACTGTGTGTGTTAGGCTACTTAATATTCAGGAAAAGCCCCAATCAGAGAGGCGAATGTCTGCAGCCCCGCCTCCGTTTTCAGATGTCTCCGTTTTCCATCATCCACACTGAGACGGAGCAGCAGCGTTTCAGAATGAAAACGGCCTCTCCAGCGTTTTCGAAACGCTCCGTTTTCGGCGCTCGGGAACTCCGGCGTAGTGTGGACGGTTGGCGTAACCGTAGCAAAACTTATGCGTTTTCAAACTAAAACGCATTAGTGTAAACGGGGCCTTATTCATCACACACAAACATTCCATTATCCAATCAGCTATAAACCACTATAAATAGTCAAACACGTCATACCTCTGTTTTCTCTTGACTTCAGCATCCCTCCACCACCCCTACTCCACACTATTAAACCCAATACCTATTTAAATCGGAGGGGGGAGCGTTCTGGAGCCGGGCTAGACACTGCGCTTGGACCCCATCTCTCTCTATCCTGATAAGGGGAATAACATGAGTTAGGGTGTCTTCCCGAGCTCAGAGCCATCTCCCCGGACAGCACGCCAAATACGCATATTTTATTCAGTCAAATATCTGTGAGTGTAAACTCATGAAATGAACAATAATAATGAAGTGTGGTCAAAAAACTGAGTTCTATACAAATACACATGCTATGCCCATATGGTCCAAAACATGATAGGAGGGCAAATCTATGTTTTTTATTATTATTATTTTTTATTAATGCATATAATAAATAATTCTAATAATAATAACATTATGCAAAAGGAAATTGTCATGAGTAAACTGAATAAGCTCCCCGAGATGAAGAAGGCATAAAGTCAGCTATTTTTAGATTTATGTGGAAAATAATAATTTTTGTAATATTTTATTCCTTTCATTCTTTTTCATTTGTAAAGATATTTGTGTATTGCTGCACATTCTGTATGTATTAAGCAATGTTTAAGCGAGGCGCACCACTAACTTTAGATCTGCTTTCAGCTGGTCTATTGTGCAGTCTATTTTAGTTTCTCAAAATAGCAACGTGTCAACAATGTGCCTTAACACACCTCTTTTCTGGACCAAAACACCCATGAGTCCACAAAGTGGCGCAAATGGATTTGCTATTTAAGCAACTAAGCGAAAAATGGAAAAAGTATGGTCTAAAAATAGCAACACATCATAGAAACATGTCTTGCGCGTTATTGCACCAGGTGTATGATAGGGCCTCTAAAGTTCAAATTTATTTATTTTTTTTATAATTTTTAAGTATATTTTTGTATAATTTTTAGGTTCTAAAATGGCATTCGAAATCACATTATTAGCATTTAACACTAAATAAAGCACATGAGATGTACCTGAGGTGATCATTGTCTGTTGTTGAGCTGCAAGAAATAGAAGCCTTTTCTAAAATATAAATTGTAGGTGTTGGTTAGGTCAAAAACTTCTTTTGATATGGTAAATATTCCTTCTATGGAGTGCCGTTGCTTTTATTTAGAACACTTAGAACATTTAGAATCTGGCAACCTGCGCTTATGTGCAATACCTAGTTTAACCACTGGTTGTCAAACTTAAATACTGCACATTTAAAGCAATGTTTTGTTGTCACCCAATCACTATTTTTGGTTTAGCACCCAAAGAAAGTATAAGAACCTTAATATTTGTAATGTCAAATAAAAAAAAAAAACATAAAAAATGTTATAACCTTGTTAACAGCATATTCTTGTTATGTACAATTTATTAAAAAATATACTAAAATACATTGTGTAGTATTAGCTAGTATTAGTAGTGTTATTAAAAAGTAGTATTTACCTTCTTTAAATTTAGATACATTTTGTCTGAACTTTTTAACGATTTTAGAACATTTCCTTGTAATGATTAGTCACACTGTATGGCTACACCTTAGGAAACAAAAAAAGAGCACAATTTTACAAACTTAAAACATGTCAGTAGTTCATAAATACAGAGTAATGTTTCTAAATATTGGTAGTTACTCATCTTATACACATGCATGCGTTATAAATAATGTGTCTGTATTTGTTTATTCAGCTCAACTACACACGACCAGGTCTCCCAAACTTCAGCCCTGAAACTGTGGACAGCTGGAAGAACGAAGTGAAAGAAAAAGGATTCATCTGCTGCCCTAACTGTGTAAGAAAATGGTCTATTTTTATTTTTTTATTTTTACATTAACAGTTGCTAGTGATTCATTGACAGATTTCAAGTCAATGTGAACATCTGAATGAGATCATTTGATGAAGATTACTTGAAGAAACTCATTGTAGAGCTCTTAAAAATGAATTAAAAATTTGTGACATTTTTTTGTTGTTGCTTATTTTCTTCAAGTTTGTCTTGATTTCCTAACAGAACTGTGAGGCGATCTACTCAAGTGTATCTGGACTTAAAGCCCACTTGGCAAGCTGTAACAAGGTACAAGTCCTCCCTGTGCAATGCACAGTAGTTGTTTCATATAAATAACTGTATATACATTATACCTGTATTCTTAGTCATTGCTCATACTGTATGAGCATCAATATTGTTCATTGTTCTCCACACAGGGAGGAGGTGACGTAGGGAAATACACATGTTTGCTCTGTCAGAAAGAGTTTAACTCTGAGAGCGGCGTCAAGTATCATATCAACAAGACACACTCTCAGGTAAAACAAACAATTATATACAGATGTGTGATATCTGCTGTGTAGGACACTATTGTAATTTCATCACTAGGCAAAAAAACACATCCTCTGTCTGTTCTAGAATAGTTCAAATAGCTCTGCAATTAGAGCAAAAGCACATTTTTCAAATTTTAGAATACAGGTAGAATTGCCCTGTATTTCAGGTTATTAGAGTAAAAAAATATACTAGTATACAGTAAGAATGAGTCTGTGTTGTAGGTTATTACAGCAAAAAGTACCTTTCAATTCTATCTAATCCAGAATACAGTTAGAATGAGTCTCTAAGTCAGCTTAAAAGAGCAAAAACATCTTAAGATTCTGTCTTTTCCAGAATACAGTTTAAATGTATTCTAATATTGTTCTTATTTTCTTACACTTGTCTCTTATTCCTGTTTATGTAAAGCACTTTGAATTGCCACTGTATATGAAATGTGCTATATACTGTAAATAAACTTGCCTTGCCTAATATCTAATTCAAGATATTAGAACAAAAATGCACATCTTTAGATTCTAGAATAAGATTATAATGAGTCTTTAATTCAGCTTTTTTAAGCAAATACATCTTCTGATTCTGTGTAATCTAGAATACAGTTAGTATGAGTCTATAATTCAAGTTACTAGAGCAAAAAACACATTATCAGATTCTATCTATTCCAGTTTAAAGTTAGAATGAGTATCTGTTTCAAGTTATTGGAGCAAAAACACCTTTCAATTTTATCTATTATAGAATACAGTTAGAATGTGTCTGTAATTAAAGTTATTAGAGCAAAAAAAAAAAAAAAAAACACACACATATTCAGACTCCAGAATGAGGTTGTATATACAAAATCTAAAGTTAGTCTTTTTTATCATATAGCTTAAATTACAGACTCATTCTAGCTGTGTTCTTCTCATTCATCTAAAGATCTGTGTATTACAACTAAAGACACATAGGGCTCTATTTTGATGATCTAGGCACAAAGTCTAAAGTGCATTGTGTAAAGTGCAAAAGCATTAAGGGTGTGTCCAAATCCACTTTTGCTATTTAAAGGATGGAATAATGCCCTGTGCATGGTCTAAGAGGGTTGTGCTTATTCTAAAATTTATCTTAATGAGTTGTGGGTGTGTTTTGAGCATAACGCGCAATAAACCAATTAGAGTCTTATCTCTCTTAAGTCTAAAATAATAATGAACTGTAGTCAAAAAGCATGCATACAATAAATACTACTACTACTAATAATAACATAATACAAACACAAATTGTCTTGAATAAAATATGTAAAGATATTTGTGTATTGCTGTACATAATGTGTATATTAAGCAATGTGTACACATTAAAGCAGCGCAACTAATGCGTTCTGTGCTGGACTTTAGAACAGCTTTCAGCTGGTCAATTGCACTGTCTATTTTAGAGCAGCACACACATAAATCCAAAAAGCAGTGCAAATGGATTTGCTATTTAAACAACATGGCGCAAAATGGGAAGTGTTGCGCTGGTCTGAAAATACCAACAAATCGTGCCAAACATGTCTTGTGCCTTATAGCTTCAGATTCTATTCTTGAATACAGTTAGAATGAGTCTGTAATTTACATTAGCAAAAAAAACATCTTCAAATTCTAGAATACAGTTAGAATTATGTAATTAAAATTAAATTAAATTAAAAGTTACTAAAGCAAAACACACATCTTCAGCTCTTCAATGTTAATAATTTTTAAAAAATTATTTATATATATTATCATATTTATTAGTATAAATGTAAGCAGTGTGTGAGACGCGTGGGAATGGTTTTCTTGTTTTACAAGCATTCATTTGGAGGCACATGAAAAAATAACATCTTTATTCTGGGATTACCACTTAATTAATACACTTATATTTAATACACTTTAATACACTATATATATATATATATATATATATATATATATATATATATATAAAGTAAACTGTAAATCAAAGCATTTACTAGGGCACAGGCGATTTTTACTAGACCATGTCCCTGGAAAAAGCCATTGTAATACAATGACTTGTCTAGTTGAAATAATTAACATAGTTAAGGCATTAAACCACACTTTAAGCTGTATACTAGTGTCTTGTAAAGTATCAAAATATTATGCACTGTCATCATTCATTCATTTTCTTGTCGGCTTAGTCCCTTTATTAATCCGGGGTCGCCACAGTGGAATGAACCACCAACATATCAAGCAAATTTTCACGCAGCGAATGCCCTTCCAGCCGCAACTCATCTCTGGGAAACATCCACACACACACTCATACACTACAGACTATTTAGCCTAACCAATTCACCTGTACCGCATGTCTTTGGACTGTGGGGGAAACCGGAGCACCCGGAGAAAACCCACGCGAAGGCAGGGAGAACATGCAAACTCTACACAGAAACGCCAACTGAGCAGAGGTTCGAACCAGCGACCCAGCGACCTTCTTGGTGTGAGGTGACAGCACTACCTACTGCGCCAATGCCTCGCCCACTGTCATCATGGCAAAGATAAAAGAAATCAATTATTAGAAATGAGTTATAAAACTATTTTATTCAGAAATTATGTAAAAAAATTATTTCCATTAGGCAGAAATTGGGGGGGGGAACCAGGGGGGCTAATAATTTAGGGCTAATTATTCTGGCTGATTTAAACAGTATTTACAGTGCGTCTGGAAAGTATTCATAGTGCTTCACTTTTTCCACATTTTTTATTAGAGGTTTGAACCTATACTGGTCTCACGGTTCGGTTCGGTTACGATTATCATGCCATCGATTCGGTTCAATTCGATATCTCGGTGCTGCACGGTGCATTGACGATGCTTTCCATATAAAGTGTTATATTTTAGGGGGGAGGCTATAACAAGCTGTCTGTATAAACACACAGACACACAGCAACACACTGTCTCTCATTCAAACACATTCACAAACATAGACAGCATCAAACAAACAAACACACACGCACACACACAAACAAACACGCTTAAGCCCTCGCAACAGGGAGAGCTCGCGCTGAGCGGAGCAGAAAAACGAAAAAAACGAAAAAAATAAGCACTTTTCCGACGGTCCCTTACAGAGAGCTCCTCTTAGCCAAGCTCTGCCGGCTAAAGTATACGCAGACTGCTAGGGCTTAAACGGAGCAGTGCTCGTAATGTCGAAGAAAAAAAGAAAGACAGCTGTGAAACATAACCAGCTTTGTCTTTCTGTAGGAAACACACTTTAGATCTTTTTAGGGTAAGCATTTTTTGAGTTATTGCCGTCTATAACTGAAAGTGTGTCAGGAAAATCGAAAAAAAAACCAACTGAAGCGCACTCATTTCTGGTGCCCCACTGGATATACAGCGCCCTAAGCATTTGCCTATGGTGCCTATGCCACGGGCCGGCCCTGAGTTGGCTGAGTGTTGTAAATAACGGCGCTCACCTCCCTCGCGACAGAGCGCGTAGGACATAAATGACTTCACTACATAATAACCAGTTATGTTTATTACTGAATCGATACCGAATTGTCCGTGTCTGCATCGCGGTGCACCGAAGAAACAATTAATTTTGACACCCCTATTTTTTATGTTACAGCCTTATTCCAAAATGGATTAAATTGATTGATTTCCTCAAAATTCTACACACAATACCCCATAATGACAATGTGAAAAACGGTTTTTAAAATGATTGCAAATGTATTAAAAATAAAAACCTGGAAAGTCACATTTACATAAGTATTCACAGCCTTTGCTCAATACTTTGTTGATGCATCTTTAGCAGCAATTACAGCCTCAAGTCTTTTTAAATATGATGCCACAAGAATGGCACACCTGTCTTTGGGATTTTTTGCCCATTCCTCTTTGCAGTACCTCTCAAGCTCTATCAGGTTGGATGGGAAGTGACAGTGTACAGACATTTTCAGATCTCTCCAGAGATGTTCAATAGGATTTAGGTCTGGGCTCTGGCTGGGCCACTTAAGGACATTCACTGAGTTGTTGTAAAAGCCACTTAATTGATATTTTGGAGGTGTGCTTTGGGTCATTGTCCTGCAGCAAGATAAACCGTTGCCCCAGTTTGAGGTCAAGATCACTCTGAAGCAGGTTTTTATCCAGGATGTCTCTGTACCTTGCTGTATTCATCTTTCCCTCTATCCTGACTAGTCTTTCAGTTCATGCTGCTGAAAAGCATCCCCACAGCATGATGCTGCTACCACCATGCTTCATTGTAGGCTTGGTATTAGCCCGGTGATGAGCAGTGCCTGGTTTTCTCCAAGCGTAACTTCTGGCATTCCCTCCAAAGAGCTCAATTTTAGTCTCATCAGACCAGAGAATTTTGTTTCTTGTGGTCTGAGAGTCCTTTAGATGTCTTTTGGCAAATTTCAGGCGGGGAGTGGTGGCTTTCGTCTGGCCATCTTTAACTTATGGATGATGGAGGCCACTGTATTCATTGGAATTTTCAGAGCAGCAGATTTTTTTTCTGTAACCTTCCCCAGCCTTTTGCCTCGAGACAATCTTGTCTCAGAGGTCTACAGATAATTCCTTTGTCTTCATGCTTGGTTTGTGCTTTGACATGCACTGTCAACCCTGGGGCCTTATATAGACAGGTGTATGCCTTTTAAAATCATGTCCAATCAACTGAATTTACCACAGGGAAACTCCAATAAGGCTGCTGAAACATATCAAGAATGATCAGTGAAAACAGATTGTTCCTAAGCTCAAATTACCGCAAAGGCTGCGAATACTTATGTACATGTGATTTTCAGCTTTTTTATTTTTAATAAATTTGCAACAATTTCAAAAAATATTTTTTTTCACATTGTCATTATTGGGTGTTTTGTGCAGAATTTTGAGGAAATAAATTAATTTAATTCGTTGTGGAATAAGGCTATAACATAAAGACATGTGGAGTGCTATGAATACTTTCCGAATGCATATAGTTGTTTGCTGTGCAGGATTTAAGTTTATGCTGTATTTTATGTAACATACCAGTTATTAACTCAGTGTACAAGGTACTATTTATTTTATAGATAATAGATAAATAATGTCATATGTGTTTCAAATCAACCCAGAACATTGTAAATGTTTCAGCTTTAGTAGTTTCAGATTCAAGAGTAATACAGATCAATAGATACCTTTTTAACTCTAATGTGGACTTTTGTGCACAGAACTGGTTTCGAGCATCCGCCAACGAGATGGCCAACAACAAGAAGAAAGAGCCCGAGAGCAACGGCTTGCAGAAAGACATGAAAAATGCAGTGGCTGGGAAGAGAAGGGGACGAAAACCCAAAGAGCACCACCTGCTGACCACAAGCTCATTTCCATTAGAGACTCTGAGCTTCACCTCAGATCCAGCTCCAGTTCCACCAGAGATCCAGACCCCCCCATCCCCAGAGACTCAAACCCCTGCGCCAGAACCCGACACGAACACCCCAACACCACCCCCTGTCCTGCTGCACACCGCAAGTCCAGCCCTACCCAGAGACACACAGCACCCTATAAAGAAAAGAGGAAAAACTAGGAAAGAGTAGCACAGCATTCACCACCGGAAGGGATGCTTTCCCAACTCCACCTGGACGCAGATGAAAAAGCATTGTTTGATTTGGTCACAGAAAGAAAGAACGAGCGGCTGAACAAACAGAAATGATTGGATTTCACACTGATCTTTGGGTTTTTTAAGCTGAGTATATACATGTGTGTGTGTGTGTGTGTGTGTGTGTGTGTGTGTGAGTGTGTGCTTGTGTATGCTGATATATTAGTACTCCTGTTGAGTTTTCATTCCATTTGTATTGTTCAGTTGAATAAGTTGTTCATTCTAATTAAGGGGTGGTTAACATATAAGCTCTCAATATGTGTGTGTGTGTGTGTGTGTGTTTGTGTGTCTGTGTGTGTGTGTGTGTGTGTGTGTGTGTGTGTGTGTGTGTATATACAGCAATGGGGAAAAAATGATGAAATGATTTGAAAATTCTCAGTTTTTATAGGTTTACAACTTATATTTATGAACATTGTTGGGAAAAGTTACTTTTAAAATTAATATGTTGCAAGCTTTTATTTATATAAAAATAAAACATATTTTGGGGCAGCATGGTGGATCACTGTCGCTTCATAGCAAGAAGGTTGCTAGTTTGAGTCCCAGCTGGGCCAGTTGGCATTTCTGTGGAGTTTGCATGTTCTGCCAAAGACATCCGGTATAGATGAATTGGCTAAGCTAAGTTGTCCGTGGTGTGTGTTTGAATGACTGTGTATGGATGTTTCCCAGTGATGGGTTGCAGCTGGAAGGGCATCCACTGCGTAAAACATATGCTGGATAAGTTGGTGGTTCATTCTGCTGTGGCGACCCCTGATTAATAAAGGCACTGAGCTAAAAAGAAAATGAACAAATGAATAAAACATAATTTGGGGTGGCACGGTGGCTAACGGTTGCCTTACAGCAAGAAGGCTGCTGGTTCAAGTCTCGGCTGGGCCAGTTGTTGTTTCTGTGTGGAGCTTGCATCTTCTCCCAAAGACATGCGGTATAGGTGAATTGGGTAAGCTAAATTGTCCATAGTGTGTGTCTGAATGGGTGTGTATGGGTGTTTTTCAGTGCTGGGTTGCAGCTGGAATGGTATCCACTGTGTAAAACAAATGCTGGATTAGTTGGCTCTTCATTCCACTGTGGTGACATCTGAAACAAACTAAGCCAAAGGAAAATGAATAAATGAATAAAATATATTTTTCCCTAAAAAGTAACTGAGGAACACCTTTAGTTACCTTTTCTTAAAATAGGTCACTGAGGATTTTTCATTCATTCATTCATTTTCTTTTCAGCTTAGTCCCTTTATCTATCCTTTATCACAGCGGAATGAACCGCCAACTTATTTACGCAGCGGATGCTCTTTCAGCCGCAACCCATCCCTGGAAAACATCAACTCACACTCATACACTACGGACAATTTAGCCTACCCAATTCACCTGTACTGCATGTCTGGACTGTGGGGGAAACCGGAGCACCTGGAGGAAACCCACACAAACGCAGGGAGAACATGCAAACTCCACACAGAAATGGCAACTGACCCAGCCCACCCAGCAACCTTCTTGCTTTGAGGCGACAGCACTACCTACTGCGCCACTGCGTCAACCCCACTGAAGATTGTTATAAATTAATTTTTAAAAGTATGGGTAAATACACATAAACATTCAATAGAAATTTTGACCAAATTTGATATAAAAATATTGACATTTGGAGCTTTTTTCAAGTAATTTTTGTGTTTAACAAAAATTGCCTTGTTTTCAGACATGTTAATATGAATTTTAGAAGCACACAATTTCAAAGTTTTAACTTCAGAAGAGTATAGCGATCAATATATGGTGGAAAAAACCTTGATTTTCAATGACAGTAAAGGAAAACTTTTCTTATTCTGACCAAATGTCATTAAGAAATGCTGTAAATGAAAAAAAAAAATTGTCAGACCTTTTTAGAATAAAACTAAATAAAACTAATATTCACATTTTACAAAATATCTAGTCTGTAAAACTCTACACTGTAAATCCCAAAAAGTTAAGGTAGCTCAAACCAATTGAGGAAACCGACTAAGACTAATGAGTACTGTGAACTTTATCCATTTGAGTAAATTAAGCAATTTGAGCACAGTAAAACCCATTAAATGAAGAGAACTCAAACCAACTGAGTACTGTAAAACTCAATAAGTTAAGGCAACTCAAACTGTTTTTTCAAGTTAGGCACCACAAGCTCTTAATCTCATAAAAACAATCAGACAAAAAATCAAAAGCACACAGCACTCAAAAAACTCAAACTGTTTGAGGAAACCGAATGCTACAAACCATTTGTGTTAAAAACTAATCTATATGAGTACTGTGAATTTTTTCCATTTGAGTTAAAGTAATAAGGTATTTAATTAACTCATTTCCTTCAACACAGTTAAAAACTCTTATCAAATGTAGAATTAACTTTTAGTCAATTTTGAATTAACTATATTCGTTTCATTTGAGGAAGTTGACTGTTGGGTTTTACAGTGTAGTAATATATCTAGAAATTCAGTAATTCTCCAGAAACTGAGAATTTTCAAGGGGTCTCATATATATATATATATATATATATATATATATATATATATATATATATATATATATATATATATATATATATATGTCTTTATATACATACAGTTGAATTGAGAATTATTAGCCCCCCACCCCCAATGAAGTCAATGGGAAATGTCCCGGTGCTCCCTATGGCTAGTCCGGCCCTGTATACACACACACACTTACTTATCATTTTTCATGAAAGCTTTTTATAGCAGAAGCTAACACATTTCTTCTCAATTTTCTATTGTATGTCTACAGTATGTCAACATGTCCAGTGGTTTCATGATTTCCTTTTTAGCTATCAAACCCGTTGAATTAGCATAGTGAGCTAATTTACTGCTAACATTTCACCACGGTTATACTCTGCTGCGTGTATATATACATAAATATTATATCTATATACGAATATATTCAAAGCAATTCATCCTCGTCCATCGGTTTCAAACACGATGCATCAAAAAGCATTGTTTTAGGACGTGTTTGGTCAGTGGCAGCTGAATGAAGAGCTGAGTTTAGATGGAGGGCTGTTGCTACTGTGCAATAGTGTCGCTTATGTGCTTTGTGTCCTGTCTGTGAGGGGTCAGAAGCCCGTAGCCTAATGCGAATCATTTTCTGCGTCCCTTTAGGCACTTTGCAGTAGTTTGTAGTTCACTGCGGTTGACCTGGAGGTCTTTGTTTAAAATTCTGTATGCTCCAAAATTGGGTTGTGCTGTGTGCTTTTGATTTTTTGTCGCATTGTTTTTATGAGATTAAGAGCTTGTGGTGCTTAACTTGAGGAATTAATGAATATGCAGTTCTGACTGGCTGGTGGAGAGTAAAAAGTACAGTACAGGTCAAATGTTTGGAAACATGATGGTTACTTTTATTTCTTCTGCTCACTGAGGTAGCATTTATTTAAAAGCAATAATATAGTGAAGTGCATATATTTAACTGCATATGTTTAAAATGTGATTAATTCTTGTATCAGCATCATTAAGCCACTCTTCAGTGTCACATGATCCTTTAGAAATCACTCTAATCATTCTAAATATACTGTCAATTAGGCCTGCACAATAAATCGTTTCAGCATCTATATCGCAATGTGTGCTTCCGCTATTGTCAAATTGCAAGATATGTAATTTTCAGTCTGAATTAGTTAACTAGGAGCTACAGAAATGTATTTAAGTACTATATTTATTCAGAATCTATATGATTTATGCCAAAAAATAGGTTTTCTCTCAAATATTTACATTTCAAAGCAAAAACCAGATTATTTTACTCACCCCACTGGCTGATCATTTTACTTGTTTTGCTTTGTTAATTCTGATTTATTTCTTCTGAAGTTAAAAACAAAACAAAAGAATTTTTGAATATTTGGACTAAAAATGAGACGAAGCAAAGTAAGAAAAGCATGTTTTGCATTGGGTTTACCAGCCTGATCTCACGAGCAAACATAAGTATTTTACGTTTTGCCAGTTTAGTGACCGTGGCAGCTAACCCCACCCCTAAACCCAACCGCCATTGGGGGATGAGCAAATCAAACTAAATTGTACGAATTAGATCAAACGAATTCATACTAATCAGCCACTAAATCAAAACGTTACGAATTTCCATGAGATTGTGTTGGGTTTACTCAATTTCTGTACCTGAACACTGTTAGATTCCCTGGAAAACCATCATTTAGTGCTATTCATTCGCAAAACTGTATTCATATCGCAATATTTATTGCAGAAAAATTAAATATCGCAATATCAGATATTTCCAAGATTGTGCAGCCCTTCTGTTAATATAATTTATTTGCTGTTTAGTTCCTTGAATATTAAGCCAGAATAGGAGTATAGTTTCTAGCCAGAAATTAACTTATTTTTATTTTCCATCTGTCTCAGTACATGTAGTGACTACAGAAGAGTCAAGCTTTAAATAGAAAAAGTATCTAAACTATTTGAGCCAGATGCTAATGGTTTAATCTAATTCCATGATTTTGCTAAGCTAAGGTAAAAGTGCTCACATCAAACCTGGTGATAAGCTGAATGATTTAAAAATAGTAAAACTAACTTTTAAAAAGAGCCTTACAGTACAGCCATACAGTATTTACAGATAAAAAAAATTATATTTTACAATATTATTGTATTTTTGATTAAATAACTGCAGCCTTGGTAACTTCATTCAAATAAACATTAACAAATCCTAGTGTTTCCAAACGTTTATGATACTGTATAGTATGTTAGCAGAAAACTGAAACATCCAAAGCACAGGAATGCCCTTTGACATCTGTGATGTCATCAATTCTTGCTTAAACATAGGAGGTCCTTTCCAATAAGTAGCTTTTGTGTTTAAAAAAGCAAGACGCGAGGCTGCGAAATGAAAATAAAACTGCAAGTTTACCTTGGGTGTTTAGACTAATATGTTGTTTGTGAGATGCTGGAAATGACATGCAGGGTCAAACACATTCATCTAGTACATGTTTACATAGAAAAAAAGAACAATAAAAAAGCACCTAATTGGAATGAAAAACTGAATTCTGTGTGGACTGCCCCTATTGATGAGTTCACACCAAATGCAAATTTACATTTTCATGCAAGTGTTGCATGAATTTTGTTTGATTTCATACTATATGTTCATGAAAATATGATAACCTTAATCACATCTTTCCCGCTAGTTTTAAACATTCAACTCAAGCGCAACTCATGTTTGGTGTGAAACACAATGGCTTCAATAAATATGGAAAAGGGTTGAAAAAAAGAAAAGACAAATGAGTGAATCTCACAAAATCTGTCAGGAAACATTTTACCTTCTAAACAGAGCCAACAAATA